CCTCCCTCCCTGTGTGTGTATACAGGTTTGATTGTAATTGTTTGTGAGGACCAAATGTTCTCACTTATATAGGGAAATATCATGACAACCAACTAGTGAGAACATCGTACTGATCCTCACTAGTTAAAAGGGCTTATAAATGAGCCAAAACATGTTTTTATTCAAATCTAGTGTTTTGTACACGTTGGGTTTAGAGGTCCTGGAGGGCTGGTGTCCTGCAGAGTGTAGCTCCAACTTGCCTCAACACACCTGCTGGGAAGTTTCTAGTATGCCTAGCAAGAGCTTGATTAGCTGGTTCAGGTGTGTCTAATTGTCTAAACTCTTCAGGACACTGGCCCTCCAGGACTGAGTTTGGGCACCCCTGTTGTACATCATACTGTTAACTTGATTGATGTGATCATCATGCAGCTAACAAAGCTATTTTGTCTTCTGTTTGTTTTCTACAGTACATTGGATGCCTCCCGGAATGATTATTTTTTTTGTATTAATTTTATGTATTTATTAAAATGAATTTTTTTTTGTGATTTGTATTATAATGTATTATTTAAATAACTTATGTTTAATGATTTATTTATTTGTATATTATATATTTATTTATTACTTATTATGAAATTATTTATATATTTTATTATATGTTTATTAAAATTTAATTAACTTGTTTTTAATGAATTTACTTTTTTATAATAATGTTTTTAAATTAACTTTGTTTTTAATGAATTCACTTTATTATAATAATGGCTGTATTGAAATTAACTTACTTTTTCCCAATAAAACCTGACCCTAATTGACTGATTCATTTACTCAATATTATTGTTGGTATTTTTTAGTGATGTATTGCTTTAATAAATGTTTATAAAATGAGGGGAAATTAATGGAAAAAGTAATGCTGAGTAATTTAATTTTAAACCTACACAAATAAGATGACTGTTATCAGCTCTTCAGCACGTGATTAACTATAACCAATGAGACTGCTGGAACTAGGAAATTAACCATCCGGTTCTCCCGCCCGCGAGCTGATTGCTTTAGTTAGGTAAGCGACATAATTTATGATAAATGTCTGAGGATTTGTCTTTCAAAATTTTTAAAAATCATACAAATAGTGCTGAATTAATTAATTAATTGAGATAGAAAGTATTACTTGCTGTTTAAACTAAACCGGCCGACTAAATTACCGTTATTCTCTGAGACATTAATCTCTGAGGTAATTTATCTTTTAAATTGTTGTCTTTTAAAACTTAAATATTAATTAATGGACTGGAATTAATTTACATCCTTGTGTTGTTGTAGTTATTATTATTATTATTATTATTATTATTATTATGAAATGGTGTAATGGCCGAGCGATCTAAAGGTCGATGGACATGTACAACATGTACACATGAATTGAACGTGTATGAACGACAATATGTATTTATTTTACAGGCTTTAAGTCATAAATACAAACGTAAACAAAGCTTTATTTCATGTAATGTTACATGTAATAGGCTACCTAACCAACACACTCTTTTCTCATTACGTGTGATTAATGTGCCGGCCGTTCATAATTAATAGACACTGGTAAACTCTGTGCGTTGGCAGTTAGTTTCACAAACAACATGATGTATTTAAATGTATGTTTTATCTTTAGATAAGTTACTTTCAAAAGCTTGGCTGCAAGCGCGCGAGCTCTCTTTCACACGCGCTGGCGCGTGCACGAGAGAAGACACGCAGTATAAGCGCATGTGCCCATAGAGATGAAAAACGAAATACGCCATACTATCGCTGGTAGTAGTAATAATAATAATAATTAATGAAAGTAAAACGTTTAGGTCATGTTTACACCAGAAAAATGTAATTATGTAAGAAGTCACTTTTTTTTTATGGAGGAAAAAGAAGTGCAGTTCAATTTCTGTTCACTCCTGGGGCTAAGTGTTATGATAACACTTGTGTATAACATATAGTATATCATTTTTATATAATGTCTGTAGGTAAATGGTACTGATAGATTTGAAACATGAACATAACTGTAGCACATATTGTCCACCCAATTCTTTTTCTTTTCATAATTTGTTCATAACGTAATAATTTCTACTGACTGTATAAAGTTAATCTGTACGTTTCTGAGATAAGCCTAATCAGATAGAAAACGGACAGGGTTTTTTCAAATATTTGATGACATTGTAAGTGAGTTTTGAGCAAAAACATAGTATTAATATCATAGATTGTCATATGTTGATGCTCACTTGAGAGTGAGAAAGCGGCCCTTTTTTACTGAAGTAACTAATGTCCATCTTTCTTGTATTATTTGACCTATTTCTCCCTTTTCCTTGTGTGCAAACAGGTCGTTGCCGCTGCTGTGTAAGTATTTGATTGACAGCTAGACAGATTCTCAGTATTTGCATTTAGCTATCATGGTTACAACTTACCTTTACTAGATCAGACCTAAATTGTATAAAAGTAGAATGATTTGCAGATATGAAGAAGATGGACATAAATTGTGATGTTTTTTCTCACATTCACCTTGATTTGTTGCTGTTTTGTACCTTTATGGTAAATCAGTATAAACATTATATCTGTATATTCAGATTTTATATTTTCATAAGATTCTGATTAGTCAATAATAATTTAGGTTTAATGACTGTGCATCATTTACATACATACCTATGTAATTTCTGAGTTATATTAGTAAGTGTAAGTCATTTCTTATTTTTCTCCCTTTTGCTTGTCTGTAAATCTGCTATGTCTCTGGATCTTCATACTAAAATCCAAAAAACTTCAATTTTGATTTCATGTGGACTTTAACATTAGAATAACATTTGTGTGTGGTAGATCTTAATAATTTTTTTATTTATTTATTTATTTTTCAGATTGTGTTGTCCTCCTTCCTCCCTACTGCCAAGTGGTCAACTGCACCTTCTTTTAAAGGTAATTCATATATTCATATTCACCTCATTAATACTCATTAATACACAGTGACTTTCTTGCATGGTTTGCTCCTTTTTGTGTTTGAGAACTGGAATCAGGAACACTAGCTATTTATTTATTATTATATATATATTTTTTCATTTATTTATAGGGTTGAGGCTGCTTTGGCTGTCTATGCAAGTAACATACACACAACATGTTAATCAGATGTATCTTTATTTTGAAATGTACAATTCTACATGTTCCGTAGCCTTTACATAGACATTGCTGTCTTAGCCTTTAATGTATGTAATATAATGAGATTTGACACATTTAGCTATTAGTCAAAATGATAAAGTTACTTTATTTTGTAGGGGATTTAAATTTCATGCAAATGTGTTGAACAACGTTCAAAAAACAAGGTTTTGTAGTTTAAATGAACAGTTTGATTTGTGTGAGATGTGAACAAAACTGCTGTCTTTTTTCCTACAGTAGATTGGGCATCTTTATTTCCATCAATGTAAGAACTATTTTAAAATTTATTGGGATAGCATCATCAACCAAAAATGCAGTTCATTTCATACAAATGTAATTCAGCCATATGCATTTTGTATTTATTTGTTATTACATTGTCCCCCTCTGTACAGTAAGTAACCATTTTAGAAATTATTATATTAGAATTGTTTCATTATTATTTTAATTAACTGCTTAGTCAAATTTTTTTAAGTGCAATTTTGTATTCCTGTTCAAAGAATGTTATTAACTTGTTCTTTTCTGTGTGTGTGTGTCTGTGTGTGTGTCTGTGTCTGTGTGTGTTCTTTACTGTCCTGTCCTGTCCTAGCCATACCTTTATATCAATTTTTCACTCAAACTTTTATCTTGCTTCTATCTCTACCTCTCGCCCATTCTATTCTTTCTCTTCCAAACCAAAAACAAACTGGCTGCTAACCCCCAAACGCCGCTGCACTGCTTGCTGCTTCGCTTGCTTGCGACCCAAACGCAATCTTACCCAAAACGCATGAACCCAAACGCATGAACCCAAACGCAAATGCAAGCTTGCTAACGCATCTTGAATATAAAGAGCCAGCCCAAAGATTCTTGAAACTCCAAAAACTCTTTGAAAACCAAAAACTCTTTGAAAATCAAAAACTCTTTGAAAAACCTGACTGTGAAAAACTTGAACATCAAACCTAGGTGAGAATAGTGAACTACACATTCAGAAAGAGTGAAAGAGAAATTTTCAGATTTCACTACGTTGGAATATCAAGTCTTTTAAAGTGCACAATCATTTTTTTGATTAACTTCATATTAATCAATTTACTGTTGTCTTGTTATATATCAAATATTCAACTTTTCTGTATATCTACATAAAAGCATTTTTTGTGTTCTATTTCAAGTATAAGTGAACATCAATATATTTATCCATTACTCAGACACATTTGCTTGATTTCCAGTACTGAAATATCGCCATGCCAAGAAAAGGAAAGAGAAGTGAATCACAGAAACAGCGCAGAAAGCTACAATCTTCATTGAGCACCAGTACCAGTACCAACTCTGTATCAGGTATGAGTGACGAAAACCCATACGTGCTGTCTGTTAAAGCGTATCACTGTCAGACCGATGCGAGGTACAGTGTGTACTCCAGAGGCCGTCAGTGTACTTGTAATTCCTTAATGTTCCTAGCAGTCCATAATGAACAAAATGAGCTACAGAGTTTCGATTTAGATGGAATTTTACAGAAAGGTGATGCAGTTTACACTAGTGTCAAACGAGCTCTGCAGAGCAAAGGAAAATTTGTGGGTAATTTTTAAAATTTTGACGAGCTACCAAACACAATTGAGACACACTCTCGCTGCTACAACATCCTGAAACACCCCCAGAGGTTTGGATTTCTGAGAGATACACCTGCACTAGGCAACTATGAAAATCTTGAGAATACTTTGCAATGTCTCAGAGCTGATGTGAGTGATGCTTTGCTGTTGTGTGGAGGCTCATGTATCGCTGTATTCAGAGATCGATCAGGGAGGTTTGGTTATTTTGATTCTCACTGCAGATCAATATATGGAATGCCTGCTGATGAAAGCACGGGTACAGCGGTATTCCTGACGTTTCATCAATTACCGGATCTTGTAGATAGGCTTTTAATATTGTTTCAAGGGTGTTTCGATTTGAGAGACCAGGAAGAGTTTGAGCTGCTGCCTGTATCATTCATTAGCATGATGACTGAAAGCTGTATACGTACTGAAGTCTCCCTGAACTGCTGTGACCTTGAACTTGATGTGCAACCATCCGTCTCGTTTGAGAACAAAGCTCTGTCAAATGATGAACAATGCACGTCTGCTGATGTCCTACAACATGTTCAAGTCCAAGATCCAGTTCAACAACTATCTGAGACTGCTGTTAACAGAGCCACATCAACTGATGAACAAGCCCACTTGTATGTTTCTAGCATGATTAGCAAGTGACTAGCATGTCGCTAGCATGATTAGCAAGTTAC